TTCTAAAACACAGAAAGTTCCTGCGCTTCTACTTCCAAGGGGCCCAGTACCAATACAACAGGCTCCCGTTCGGCTATTCCCTCACACCACGCACATTTTCAAAATGCGTGGAGACGGCTCTGCAGCCGCTACACAGAGCAGGGATGAGAATTCTGTTTTACCTGGACGATCTGATGCTGCTGACCTGATCCAGGCAGGAAGCAGTGGCGCAAACCGAAACGCTGACGTCACACCTGTTAAACCTGGGCTTCGCCATAAACTGGGAGAAGAATTCGGTTCTCCCCGCCCAGATGATCGTTTGTCTGGGAGTGGAGCTAAACTCAGTCACTATGAGGGCCCGTTTATCACAGACGAGAGCCGAAGCTCTAAAAGATCAGCTCCGCCGCGTAAAACCCGGCAGAGTAGTAACAGCATTTTCCATCATGAAACTGTTAGGAACGATGTTGTCAGCTCACGCGGTGGTTCCGCTGGGCTTACTCCATATGAGACGCCTTCAGAGATGGTTCGCTCGCCTGCACATAGATCCGGTACGGCAGAAGAGGCGGATGATTTCTGTGCCCCCCTCCATGGGAACCGACCTGAAGTACTGAGGACACCCTCTAACTCTGTCAGAGGGAGTTCCTATCAGCAGACCTACGTCACGCGTCTCAGTTTTCACAGACGCGTCCCTGTCAGGCTGGGGAGGAACGTACCTGTCTCAGGCGGTGGGGGCGCTGTGGCCACCTCACACAGCAGCTCATACTTTGTATAAACGCTTTGGAATGTTTCCCGGTTTTGAATGTGATTCAACATTTTGCTCCCTTGTTACAGAATCAATATGTTCTGATCCACACAGACAACAAGGTGACTGCAGCTTACATAAACCGGCAGGGGGGCATGCACTCAGCCCAAATTTTACTCATTGCGAGGCAGCTGCTGTGTTGGACACACAAAAACCTGCTCTCCATCAGAGCAGTGTACATACCTCTAATATCACGATTTCTGAACCGAGTTCGGGAGGAAGAACTGTCAGCCATTCTGGTAGCCCCTGAGCACCCCGTGGTTCCCAATCATGCAACGTCTGTTATCGGGTCGACCGTGGAAACTGCTGTGGAGGGAGGATGCTCTCCTCCAGGCAGGAGGAGCAATCAGGAGTCACCCAGAAATAGGCCAGCACCTTTGGGTCTGGCCACTGAGCGGATCCGCTTAGAGAAGATGGGCCTCTCCCAAGAAGTGATTCACACAATTCAGGACTCACGTGCTGCTTCCACCACAGCGCTATACACATCAAAGTGGACAGCCTTTCAGCGCTGGTGTACGGAGAAAGGTGTAGAGGCTATCTCATGTCCACTAGGTGGCGTGCTGTCCTTTCTGCAGCAGCTGATGGACAGAAATCTGGTGTTCAGCACAATTAAAACGTACGCTGCAGCCATTTCTTCCTTTCACGAAGGCTTCGGTGACAGAACAGTTTTTAATCACCTGCTGATGAAACATTTTCTGAAAGGTGTACGGAGGCACAGACCGGTGTCACACCCACTTGCTCCACAGTGGGACTTAACAATGGTTCTGCAAGCCCTGATCAAAGCTCCTTTTGAGCCCTTGGATCAGGTTTCAGTTAAATTCCTGTCACTCAAAACAGCCCTGTTGTTGGCTTTGACATCTGCAAAGAGAGTGAGTGATTCATCTGTGCTCTCTGCTGCCCCGTTGTGTCTCAGAGTTCAAGCTGATGGCAGCTCAGCTGTGTTGAGACCTAACCCAGCTTTTATGCCTAAAAACAGCACGAGTTCTTTTAAATCGAGCACAATAACATTAGAGGGGCTTTTCCCTCCCCCTAACAAAACAGAAGAAAAAGGATCTTTTCATCTCCTCTGCCCTGTGCGTGCGCTGGCATGTTACATAACACACACGGCCACACTGCGCCAGACTCGACGTCTGTTTGTACATTGTAGAGATGCCTCTGCAGGTCGCCCGTTATCCACCCAGCGTCTGTCACACTGGCTGTGTGAGGCCATTTCTGAAGCTTACAGAGCATCAGGTTTAGAGCCTCCTGAGAACCTCAGGGTTCATTCAACCAGAGGAATTGCATCTTCGACAGCTTTGCATAATGGTATGACAGTGCAGGATATTTGCACGGCGGCTGCATGGTCGTCGCCTTGCTCATTTATTCGCTTTTATTTGCGTGATGTTTCTGGTTCCATGGCACATTCTGTCCTTAGCGCTTTAACAGAATAAATCTTAATGTTTTCATGGAATTTTTGTTTAAACTCACATCTGACTGCATGCAATTACAGTGTGAGATATTTATTATCAGTCACAAGTTCTGTGACTGCTGTTTTTGTTCTACTGTTACTAATCAGTTCATTTGATTACTAATCAGTTCATTATTATTAATCCACTCATATTGAAGAGCTGTTGATCTACTCTATTCACTGCTACACGGTTACAAGCGTAACCTCCTGCTCTTTCCCATTCTTGGCAGCAGGACTGCTTTCAGCCTTCCTCTATTTTTCCACCGCCGGAAACCCTTTTCTCTCCGGGGCACTCTTGTGCATGGAACACGTAATTACGCAGTGTGTAATTACGCACATAGAAGGCTGAGTGATGAAATGTTTTTTGGTGCAAGCAGGCGCTTCATATTGTGTCTGAACGGACCCAGTGAGGCACAGACTACATCCTGCTTCGCCTTTAACCCACCAGCAACAGCCTTAAAGGGCGAAGCCTATACGTAATAGAACGTTTTTTACGTACTGTAACCACAGATTCTGAGTATAGGGGTAGCCCTTTAAGCGGTGGGCCTCACTGGCTCCTAAATGGCTGAAGAAAAAGCTATTTGGGAGCCGATTACCCGCTCTCAACGTAATTTATACGGACCGGGTGAGGCTCATTCAACAGGTGGGCGTGGACTAAAGTTTTTAGTGCTACGCTTCGCATGTCAGGATAAAACCCACCAGCGACAGCCTTGAAGGGCTACGCCTATACTCATAGAATCTGGAGTTACAGTACGTAACCAACATTTTTGTTATCTCTTTAGAGCCTTTTCTGGTCTAAACACCTACCTATTCAAGACTGTTAGTCCTTTTAGGGATCAAAGCCCAGTCTTAGCTGAATGTCATATTTGGGTTAGGGGTTAGGTTTAGGACTAAAAGGTGAATAGAGTTTAGGTTATAGATAAGTAATACTAAGTGATAAAACGTAATTCAATTGAATTCAATTCAGTTTATTTACAGTATATAGCGCCAAATCACAACAGAAGTCTTCTCATTGCACTGAACAGAAACATTCACAGTTAATAACAATATTATCTAAGTGGTTAGACTGAGCGTCAGGGTTATGCTACAGAAATGGAAGTCATTGAATGGAAGTCATTACATGGTCCTAATAAGTATAGAATTACACATGTGCACTCATCCTAGGATACATGGTGGGAGAGGTGGCGCAGAGGTTAGAGAAGGTCGGCCTGTGATCAGAAGGTTGCCGGTTCAACTCCTCGTACCAACAACATCAAAATGTGGGTGGGATAGGTGAAGCACCCACACCTGCCTCCACCCTCATTTGCCCCACTCTGGGCCCTTGAGCAAGACCCTTAACCCCCACCATCTGTTCCCCCAGGTGTCCTAGATAGCAGCTTTCTGCTCCACACAGAGGGCTGTGGTAGCTCGGTGTCTGTGGCTGAGTCAGGAAGGACATCCGGTGGAAAAAAAAAAAATCAAGTCTTCATGCGAGAAGGGAGCAACCGAAAGAAGAAAATAATAATAATTCAAAGATGCACATCTACAACTAATTATTTTGTGCCCAGTCAATTTTGCAGATATTGACTTGTTCTTGTTGTGGTAGTAGCTGAGAGTCATTTACAAATCATATTTTGAGAATGGTGTCTGTCAATGTTTGACATTCCACATTCTCGTTTTCTAGAATAAAGTAGAATAAACATGTGTTTTATTTTATAACCTAGCACTTCTTTCACTTTTAAAACTAAATGTTTTCATTTAGAGCATTTTATTGCACAGCATAAACAAATGATGTGAATAACATTTTAAAAAAGGTTGAACGGACTGGTTTTAAAACTTTTCAGACCATTACTGGTGCTAAAATTCAATCAGCTGTGTTTGATGGCTTATGAACATCTGTCCTCTTCATTCCAAAGGTTTTCAAAGGGTTTCAGGTCTGGAGATTGAGCTGGGCAGTGGACACGACAGGGTCTTGTTTTGTTAGACTTTTGCAAGAAAATAAATAAATAATTCTTCTTCTTTGCAAGCAATGTGCTTCCTGATTTGAACACTAGGTGACAGCATTGAACCACAAAAAAGAAAATGAGATGTTTTGCTGTCAATGCAAATAAAAAAAATAATAATAATAACAGGAAATAATGTTCCTTTGAGCTTGAGCTCTCCCTGTAGCATGAGTTCAGACATACATGTAATTTATCTTCTTTTTTTTTAGCAGTCAGGTTGTGTAAGAACTGATGAGTCCATCTACATTATCTAATAAATGTGTTAATTACAGTGTAGTGTTGTTCTCTGGAGGAGTCAGGTTTGGACCTGCAGCCCGGGTCACGGGAGGTGCAGGACTTGAGGAGTGGCTCCTCTGAAACGCCATTCAGACAAATCAAAACTCAATTATGCGTACCAGGAGCCGACCAATCAGAGCGCTCGGTCCTCAGGAGGCTCCGCCCCTCGCCGCCCGGATCACTGTCTCGGTGTTTTGGTGGAGGTTAGTTGATGCAACTGAGGAGCTGCCGGTCGCGCGCTCATACACACGAGCCAGCGTGTCCTCCGTGTCCCCTCCTCACCAGCCTGTGTGGAAGGAACATGTCCCTGAGGTGTCTCCTGACATGACCTCACCCGAACATTTCAACCGGATTCATCGACTGTCGCTCCGGAACCGGCTTGAACGGCCGTGCCTGCTTCCACCTCTACAAGCCCTTTTCTTTGGTTTAGTTATTTTTTTGTGTGTGTTGGATTTTATATTCATTGTGTCCACGCAGTTGACTGATGTTTGACTCGAACTTCTGATCTACAAACGAGCACCGACGTTAAATCTCCAGCAGCTGCGCTTTTCGGTGAGTCAACTTGTTTCAGTCAGACAGGAGGACACAGACTGAGGTCAATAAAATTAATCCCACGCTCCATGCAACACATTTGTTCAGCACAGACCTCAGTCCACGCTTTTTTAAGGTGTGTTGAACTAAAGCTCTTGTTTTAGTTCCTTCACCTTTTGTGTCACTTCATTTCAGTGTGGAGCTCCTAAAAGTAAAACTCCCGTCAGAGGTCGTTTCCCCTGAAGCTGTGGTTAATATGAGGAGATGGAGAACATACTGCTCATACCTTCCACTGCAGAGCAATCACACCACACCTCCCAGTGCCAACGTGGGTTTGGGAAGCAGTGGGAACTTTAATTAAAGGCTTTAAGTGAAACTTGGTTGGATAACTGAATGGTCTTCCTGCTGAGCTGCTTTTATTTACTATGAACTTTACAAAAGTGTATAAGAACTTCTCATACCTGGCTGGTGTAACTTTGCTACCACAGGTTTCCTTCCCAGAACCACACACACACAATTTAAAGACCTGGCCCACTCGGCAAGACCAGTGTCCAAATATTGACTGAACTCTGGGGCAGCAACAATAGACTGACAAGTATGCAGGTTTTGAAAAGTTAATTTCATATCCCTCCATGTTCTTGTGTTAGTGTACTAACAACAGCACCAAAAATGGTTTATGTTAAATGACTTCAAATGAAAGAGCTTGAAAAGACCTTTTCAGTGACACCACATGTATCTGGGTTAAAAAATAAGAAAGGTATAGCTTTTCAATAAAAATGGGGGATATTTCATGTCCTGAATAAATAAAGTAATAATTCTGTATTTACAGAAAATGTTTGGGTTTGTTACTACAGAAAATTATAACAGTTTCAACATTTTGTTGGGGTGGTGTGGTCCTGACAAGTCAAATTATTATTTTTTTAGAACCTTTAAAAAATATGAACTTGCAGTCTAAGTTGCTGAACAGTCTTTTTGCAACTTTTGTTGGAGCAGAAGTTCCATTATGCCATGGCTCTCTCTCAAATAACCAGTAAATGACTTGATGACAAATTGAGTTGTGGGCACTTTTCTAATTCATGATCAATGTAAACTACAATCATTACAGCCCACGAGTCAACAAAATGTGAATGTGTTACTGGACAGGAAAGGTAAGAAAATCACATTTCGCTTTCCTTTTGAATCAGCCAGGGAATGTCCCCAGTAGAAGTGATGAGCAGAGAAGGGAGGAGCCTCCTAAAAGCATTTACCTGTGGGACAAGGTGTCACCTTAAATCAGGGACAACATATCAGAGTGAATTAAGTTTATGATATAACTGAACATCTGACAACATAAGTAAACAATTGGTACAAAATAATACCAGAAATCTCGTACTGTTCAACACTGGGCTAATTAACCACACATGGGTTCACTGACTTCACTGATCATATTTGGATCTCAGCAGCGATGTGGCCGTCATGCAGTTAAACCAGTTTGTGGGACATTCAGCTGATGCCTGAGCTGATAGCTGTTTGAAATGGAGTGCAAACCACACCCACCCAGCTAGCAGCTTTGTCATTCATGCTTCAGATGGTGTGTAGCCACACATTCAGTGGTTGGAACCATGGTTGCAGCTCATGTTAGCAATATGACTGTGTATTGTATTGTATACATTGTACCTGACTGCTGATCCAGGATCTGCTGTCATCCATGGACATAATTTAACTCTAACCTGCTTATTTACTGTCATTTTGCTGAGACCATTGAATTTCCACTTGGATAGCAACAGGACGGCATGATTTAGAGGAATGACCTCTCTGATCTAAACCCAAATGGTGTTCTGTCATTGGACTTCAATGCTAGTCATGGTTTATCCATAACATACACCATGTTTAAACATAAGAGCCTTTATACGTATAAATGGCACCAGGACATACTAGGCCCCAGATGACTGAGAGTTTCTAGTTGTGTCATATGATTTGCAGCTGGATGTTTTGGAAACGGGTGAAAAGAGGAGTAGAGCTGTCAACTGAACACCACCTGGTGGTGAGTTGGCTCATTTGGCGAGAACAAGAAAGCAGACAGACCAGGCAGACCCAAATGTGTTGTGGTGTAGCTGGGCACACCTGGCAGAAGAACTCACTAGAACTACCCTCAGAACTTCCCTCAGGCAGACGATACAGGAGTCTGCCATCGCACACAAAAAGACTAAGGGACAGTTATTATGCACAATAGAGAAATTTACTAATTGAATTTTCTTTGCATATGAATGTTTTTGTAAAGTGCCCTGAGACAACTTTCTTGTGAAATGGCGTTATATAAAGAAAATTGATTGAATTGAAGCTCCCTGCACCTCGCACAGTGATTGTTGGACATGGGCACCGGCGACCCCCGTGACCCAAAATGGAAGAAGCGGGGAAAAGATAATAGATGGAAGGATGGATGGATGAATTGATGCTGTCAGATTACTAAACTCTCGATAAATAACACTGAACAATTGGCAATAACATTGCACCAAGCCACATCTGTGACAGCTAATATGACTAAAAGTAGATGACAAATAATATGATTAAAATTAGCTGTGACAGCCAATATGACTAAAACTAGCTGTGACAGCTAAAATGACCAAAACTAGATGTGAAAGCTAATATGAGTAAAACTACCTGTGACAGCTAAAATGACGAAAACTAGCTGTGACAGCCAGTATGAGTAAAACTAGCTGTGACAGGCAATATGACTAAAACTAGCTGACAACAAATATGACTAAAACTAGCTGTGACAGGCAATATGACTAAAACTAGCTGTGACAACCAGTATGAGTAAAACTAGCTGTGACAGCTAAAATGACTAAAACTAGCTGTGACAGCTAAAATGACCAAAACTAGATGTGAAAGCTAATATGCCTAAAACTAGCTGTGACAATTAATATGAATAAAACTAGCTGTGACAGCTAAAATTACCAAAACTAGCTGTGACAGCCAATGTGACTAAAACTAGATGTGACAATTAATATGAATAAAACTAGCTGTGACAGGTAAAGTGACCAAAACTAGATGTGAAAGCTAATATGACTAAAACTAGCTGACAACAAATATGACTAAAACTAGCTGACAACAAATATGACAAAAACTAGCTGTGACAACCAGTATGA